GTGTGTGTGTGTGTGTGTGTGTGTGTGTGTGTGTACTCACGCTTTCAGCAGACTGTGGTCTCTGTTGAGATTGTGGCTCAACAGGTTGGAAGACAGAGAAAACAGGTCCTCACACCACAGCTGCAACAATAGGGTCATCATCATCATCATCATCATCATCATCATCACTATCATCATCCTCATCACCATCATCACCATCATAATCACCATCATAATCACCATCATAATCACCATCATAATCACCATCATAATCACCATCATCATCACTATAATCACAGTCATCATCACCATCATCACTATCATCACTATCATCATCACCATCATCATCATCATCACTATCATCATCACCATCACTATCATCATCCTCATCACCATCATCACCATCATAATCACCATCATAATCACCATCATCATCACTGTAATCACAGTCATCATCACCATCATCACTACCATCACTATCATCATCATTATTACTATCATCACCATCATCATCTGTATCATCATCATCACTATCATCATCATCATCATCATCATCATCATCACTATCATCATCATTATTACTATCATCACCATCATCATCCCCATCACCATCATCATCATCATCACTATCATCATCATCATCATTATCACTATTATCATCACCATCATCATCATCACTTTCATCACAGTCATCATCATGATCATCATCATTGTAATCAACATCATCATCATTATCACATCATCATCACCATCATCATCACCATCATCACCATCATCACAGTCATCATCATCATCATCTCTATCATCATCACCATCATCATCATTATCACTATCATCACCATCATCATCACCATCANATCATCACCATCATCATCACCATCATCATCACCATCATCACAGTCATCATCATCATCATCACTTTCATCATCACTTTCATCATCACTATCATCATCACTATCATCATCACTATCACTATCATCACCATTATTATCATCATCATCATCCCCATTACCATCATCATCATCATCATCATCATCATCACTATCATCATCAACATCATCACCATCATCATCACTACTATCATCACTACCACCACCATCATCTCCATCATCCCCATCATCAAAAACAATACAATCATCTGTTGTTGCCACTTGGGGCAGTAGTGAGTGTAATACCTTGGCTTCGTCCTCTTGTGAAGCAATAAAGTTAAGTTGGTTTATGTTTACGAGGTCTGAGGCAGTAACCACAGTAACCATGCGATTCTCCAGCCGACCAACAAGGTTTCCCACCTCTAGCAACTCCCGCAGCTTAGCTTCCTATTGGATGGCACAAAATGAAAAACATTTTGCCAAAAGAGATCCAAGACGGAGGCAACTGGACATCAAAGAGTTTAGGTTAGAATTTATGCTAACATAGCTAACATAACATTTAAATTAACTTCAGCTTAACTGCATTTGGCAACTATTTTTTATAATTTAGCAGTCTTGGGTCTTTTTAAAAACTATTTTGTAAATTGTAGAATCTATTTTGCTGCTTTAAGCAACAGTTGTTATCTTTTACATTGTGTCTTTTAGTTATTTAAAACCAATAACGTTCATACTTATTGTAGAAAATGTAAGTTTTCTAGTTGCATCTATTATTCTTTGTGGCAGATTCTGTTTCCCTGTTGGAATCTAAAGGATATATGTTTCAGTAACTGTGAGAAAAGTTAAAAAAGGATTTAATTATTTTAAACTCCAAAGACCTGATACTTTAACATCGGTATGGAGAGGTGTATGACCTCTGTGTTCAACCAGTGTAGAGAGTAGTTTGGTCAGTTTATAAACAAACTTTGAACAGATGGTAAAAATAAAATTAAAACTTTTAATCGATACGTTTTTTTAAGTCACAAATTGTTTGAAGTTAAAAGCTCTCACAATTAAAGCAGGTGACAAATATTATTTGTATATTTATCAAACTGTAGCGTTTTTTTTCCTGTTTTGTTTACATTGAATTTCTGTGTGTTGTTTTACATAATGTTTAGTGACAAATTTCCAGAAATGTTTTTTATATTTCTTAAAATTTCAGAAAATGTTTATGATTACTGTGTTATCCTATCTGCTGAAATGTTGATGTCTACTGTAACACTGACGGGTGCTGTCAATTATTAATAGAAAAAATATATTGTGAGAAAACTGTAGAATAAAATATCTTTCTTCTGCTGCAATAAAGGAGATTTACTGACAGGGGAATAATACTGAAACTTATATAAAAGGTCAAAGGTCATCATTAGGTGGGCGGAGTCAGATTGATGATAGTACCTTGGCTGTTTTGGTGCTTCGACCCGTTCTGACATCCTTTACAAAGGTGAGGTCCAACAGTTCTGTGTCCTGGTGGGAGGAAATACACCCAGAGTCAGTTTTTAGCATTCAGCGTTTCCCTCTGTTCATTTATTAGCCCAGTTTTGATTTTATAAACAAAAATATCAAAAAGAGAACAACAATAGAACCGAGTCTTCACTATTTAATGAACAAGTTGAAACTAAGTTGTTCAAAATAAAAGCAGAATACTAGCTAAAAGCAAAAATAAGTAGCAGGAGGCTATCTATTCCTAAGCCAGCTATTGATCTGATTAATGATAGGCCGTCAACTGAGCAGCTGGCCCCGGGAACTGAGAGGCCGGAGCTGGCAAATGAGGTGACTATTCATTTGTGTTAGCACTGGAGAGATTAGCAACTAGCATGGATAAGCTAGCATTAGCATTAGAGAGGCTAGAAACTAGGATGGATAAGCTGGTGTTCCCATTGGAGAGGTTAGCGACTAGCATGGATAAGCTGGTGTTAGCACAGGAGAGGCTAGCGACTAGCATGGCCCTCACACTGCACTATACTCATTCACACATCTGGACTCTGTCTTGTTATGACTGACTTTCATTCTTCTTCTAAGTTCATGCCTTCACCTTCCAATGTCCTCATACACCACAGCTCCTTCTGTCATCTGTTTTGTCTCCACAAAGAAGTTCTTTCTGATCCTCAAAACAAAGATGGAGTCTGTGGTTCTTTTTCTTGTCATGAAACCATCCTGCTGCTCTCAGTCCAGCTTCTCCATCTTTCTCCCATTGGACTCATCAAACAACATCAAACCTTGTTGCTACAACTCTGTTCACCAACCTTGTTCTTAAAAACGAACACCAGCTCACTTCTCCATTTCTCAGACATTTTCTCAGCTTCAAAAGTGTTGTTGAACAGTCAAGTCAGAACCCAGAGAGCAAAATATGAATAAATCAACATTGAAATATGGGTAGCTGGCATGATAGTGAATCCATGTTGAAATTATTCAAAAAGTGGACTTACTTGTTGAATCAATGCTGATTCATCATTGATTAGATGTTGGCATTACAGTCATTAGAATTCAACCATGAAACAACATTGATTCATTAACATATTTTCAACATTGTTTATTTGGCTAGAATTGGATGACTGTTTGATGGTTGATTCACCATCAGTCATCGACCTAAACCAAAAATCTAATTTTTTGACCATAATTCAACATTGAAATATTTTTCTCTCTCTGGGAAAAATCTCTGCCATCTCCCCAAGATTTCCTACATCTCCACTGGTCATCTAGCCTGATCCTTTCCTTCCTACGTGGTTCTGATTAATTCTAGTTTCCCTTCTCTGCTCCTTCTGGTCTTTCTCCCATAGACTTGGATTTCTCTGGTAGAATTTTAACCGGGCCATTCTGCAACAAATTCTGACCCTACCATCCGAATGTTGCAGCAGAAATCGAGACTCATCAGACCAGGCAACGTTTTTCAGTCCTCTATTGTCCAGTTTTGTTGAGTTTGTGTGAATTGTAGCCTCAGTTTCCTGTTCTTAGCTGAAAGGAGTGGCACCCGGTGTGGTCTTCTGCTGCTGTAGCCCATCCACCTCAAGGTTTGATGTGTTGTGTTCAGAGAGGCTCTTCTGCCTACCTTGGTTGTAACGGGTGGTTATTTGAGTCACTGTTGCCTTTCTATCAGCTCGAACCAGTCTGCCCATTCTCCTCTGACCTCTGGCACCAACAAGGCATTTCCGCCCACAGGACTGCCGCTCACTGGATATGTTCTCTTTTTCGAACCATTCTCTGTAAACCCTAGAGATGGTTGTGSGTGAAAATCCCAGTAGATCAGCAGTTTGTGAAATACTCAGACTAGCCTGTCCGGCACCAAGACCCATGCCATGTTCAAAGTCATTTAAATCACCTTTCTTCTCCATTCTGATGCTCAGTTTGATCTGCAGCAGATCACATTGGTGTAAACAACAATGTTTTATTTGTCTGAATCATATTTGCAAATGTTTTGACTTTGAAGCAATTCATTCTTTCAGTTATGTTTTTAAAGAAGTTCTCATCAGATAATAATTAAACAGGTCATGATATGTTTTGTTTCTGAACTACACGGAAGCAATAATGTTTGTTTAGCTTCAGGAGGTGATGGCAAGTCTCTGAACTAACACTTTCCTTGATATTTTCCTTTTCTAATCTAACCTCTGAGAGGCGGAACTAAGGAAACTAAGCTTCTTTAGTATCTAACAGTTTCCGCCTGGACAGTTGGTCAGACGGACAGTCAGAGTGAGAGGACGGACGTCCGTGCCGTCCACAACACTCGCAGCTGGGTTCTCTCTGGAGAACCAGAGCTTAAGCTGTGTCGGTTCTACCCCTTTATTACCAACGGGGAGCCGCACGGCCGGATACGACCAACGCCTGGTGTATACAACCTGCTTTAAAATCTTCCTGTTGGAAGTTTTATTTTGAAATCGGGATCCAGTTTGGCTTCGCCTTTCTTCCAACGCATGTACGCAGACGCTAAGAGAGTGAATGGTGCCAGAGTGTCACTACTGAGTTGGAGAGTCTAAACAGATTTTCTGTACTGACTGTTGATCCTCCTAAACTACCTGGACAGGTGACAGACATCATCGATAAAGGTAGAAGCTGGCTTTGTTACTAAGTGTCACTATGTGGCTGACGCTGAGCAGAGAAACACCTTGCCTCTCTGGTTAAACCCACATTTATTTAAGTTAAACATTAGGAAAACTATTATCTTATTTTCCTCCTTTTCTTAAACCTATCTTGCCAAACTATGTTATTTGCCTCAAATGTCTGGTATTTCAACATCTAAAGCTTGATGTTTGTGTTCTATTTAAGTGCTTGATTGACAATTAACAAAGCTCGAAGCATGCTTGTTATTGTTGTTTCCAAACTTTTATAGGAAATTGATTGCTCACAATTAAGCGATTTTGTGATTATGTAAAATAAACGATTGCATTTATTTATGGATCGAATCAAAATTCACTGACTGAAGCCACTTATTGTGTGTCCATTCACTTTGCACTGGAAGAATATTTTACTAAAAATAAAATGATCCTTGCTAAAATAATATCATTATAACCTTATTATAAGAAGTGTAGGGCTGAACCTTACCTGTATAATCCTAAAGAGTCAAATGTGTGATGAGTAAAGCTTGTTTCTTAATGTTCTGCTACTTCACCTTGTTCTGATCAGTCCAGCAGAGATAGAATCCATGTGGATCCACATGTAGAGTCACTGGAGTGACCGTAGATAAATCCTGGGAAAAAAAGGAGCCATAAAGAAATGATTTAATCTGAACAAATACGATCAACCATCCTGTAGGATCATGAACATTTTGAGCTTAGAAACAGAAATCAAATATTCTGTTCAGTTGTTTGTATTAAACTCAAAATTGAATGCACACAAATCATTTTGTATTTTCCTACTCAAATTAAACTAACTGAAGGTGCAGCGTTCACTGAAGGGAAACATTTCACCCACCGCTGTGTGTTTGTCCTGCTGGAGTTAAAAATAATCAGGAGAAGAGAGAAAGTTTTATATGTGTTGGTCAGGTCTTACATGTAAAATACTACCACATCAAATTAGTTGAAATATCCAGTCTGTGTTTCTGCCTCATTCAGAGCAAACAGTTGAAATGAGACCTAAACCATGCTCTGGTGGCTACAGTGACAAAGGTTGGAAGGTGCCTCATCCTCCAATAAACGAGAACATTACTCCTCAGTTTCTGCACACAAACAGGATTCTCGTTGAAGTGAGACAAATAATTAATTTTTATATCCAAGTGAATACTGATTCAAACATGACGTCATGCTACAACCTGTAAAACTCACTAACTTTGACTCTTCTGTGTTTTTTAACAGAGCTCTATAAAGTACTTGAAAAGAATAACTAAGTAAAAGTAAAAATAACTTAATAGAAAATGACTTTGGTAAAAATAAATTTTACTGATGAAAAAAATACTTAAGTAAAAGTCATAAAACTGTTCATAAAAATTGGGAAAGTAAAAGTACTTTTACACACACTAAGAAATAAACTGTAAAATTTACTGAACCCCTTAACAGTTTTTGTTCCACCAGTGGGCAAAAATGTTGTGGTTTCGGTCTTTAAACGTTTCCAAACACTATTGGGGGCTTTTAATTTGAAGACTAGGGTGTCAGACAACTTCCTCCCTTTCTTACCTTTAGTTTGCCACCCTTAAAAAAGTCAAAAGGCTTTTAAGGAATTTCAGGGGTGTCTGTTTAAGGGGGTAACCAAACTGGTCCCACTAAACCTCATATTTACTCAGCTAGACTTAGTGAAACCAGCTGGCATGACTTGGTTGAGTAAATTCAACACTTCAGTTTTTAGAGCATAAACAACTCCTTTCATGATGAGTTTGGACATATTTATTTTGTAAATGAGTAACAAAAAAACTCTTTAAGAAGTCTTCATTTAATCCAAAATGCTGCTGCTAGAGTTTTAATGAGAGCTGGAAGGAGATCATATTTCTCCAGTTTTAGCTTCTCTCCACTGGCTCCCTGTCAAATTCAGAATATAATTTAAAATATTTC